GGGCGGCGCCAAGCAAAGTGCCCGAGAGTAGTGCCAGAATTAGTGCCCGAAATAGTGCCCGAATGAACCCGTCATAGTGCCCAACTACATTTCCTTTGTGGAGGAAAGCAAAATCTTCCTTTTTCAAAAAAAGAATGTGGGCAACAGAATCCACTTTTGAAAGGCTCCGAAGTGAAGAATTCTGAGTAGAGGGCACAAATAGCCCCTGCAACTGTTGTGTGTGGGGAGCTGGGTCTACCCTCCCTAGAGAGAGCAGTAGAAGCCTGGTTCCTTCCTCATGGGGTTTCTGGCCGGACCGCTATGGGTACTATGCAAAGTGGAGGAAACTTTCTCATTTTTTGCGTCAAATATATTTTTAGTTTTCTTGGCTTTAAACCCCCGAAATGATTTCGTATGGACTCTCCTTCTCGTGTGTCGGAGAAGACGTTTTTAATTCGTTTCCGCTTTTTGAAAAAAGATACAATAAAAGAGGACTACTGGAAGCGAAAATTAACTCGGTTGCAACTGTTGCGTGCCTTATGGCCAGGGCTAGGGCAGTTACAAGCTTCCGAAACTGAGGCATATGACACGAGAAGCCGCTACCCAGAACTGTTATTTTTTTGCTTTGGCGATGTGCTGTTGACGTGCCAGAAGCTTCTGAGTGACTGATAGCTGCAGTCCTTCTCTTTGAACGGTGCCGTGGGTCCGAAGTCTCGACTATGTGAAGTGACCTGGGTGCACCATGTGTTGAAAGTCCGTGCTCTCCTTGACGATCGTTAATTTTTTGAGCTTTTGTTAAAACCGCAGTGATTTGTTGATTGCGTAGGTGTTTCCTGCTTGCGCTTGCAGCAATTGGCATTCAAGGTTGCGGTTGCATGAAGCAGAACCTACCTATATTTGAACACGCAGCGGACAGGCGGCAGGATGCTGTACGTTAGCCTAGTTTTGCAGGCCAGGCTCACTTTCTCCATTCCCACACCAGGCAGAGGGAGAAGTCGCCGAATTTCTAATGCCAATGCCACCAGTCGTCCCCAGCAACGAAAACTACAGGGCACCTTGGTTAATCTCGCTCAGGCGCTTGAGGATGTGTTGTCGTTCCTTTTGGGTCATCGATGCTGCCTGCTCGCTGAGGACAAGTTCCCGGGTGGAGTCGACATGGACATGGAGCAGTTGTTTCAAGATTTCCGTAAGTTGCAAAGTGCAATGGACACAGTCATGGGTGCGAAGCTTGAGTTAGAGAAGGATTTTGCCAGCCTCAGGCACAAGATGGACTTGAGTCCATCGGCACTCACTAATTTTGAGAAGCTTCCTCCGAGTTTGCTGTCAGTGGCACTGCGGGAAGACCATCCGCCGGAGAACCTGGAGATGGAGTTTGCCGAAGCCTTCCCCAAGCATGGAGAGGTCTCAATGCAAGCCGTTCCCTCCGACAAGCAGAGGATTCGAGGGACCACGGTGGTGATGCGTGCGGACTCGGGAGCTTCGGCGCGCAATTCCCTGGTTACCGTCGCTTCAGAAGCGACTAGTGACGATTAGTGAGTTAGTGAGGAAGGAGGGTACATGTCCTTTTGTTAGCACTCCGAGTTGGTGCTGTGGATGATGTCCCCAGGCCTCGCCACTCTGTTCGCGGGGTCCACTTGTTCCGGTTGCAAGCATCGCAGTACTCGTGCGTGTGTCAGTCTCTTGGCTCCGCTGCTTTCAGGATTCCAACCAACCTGCACGAAGGAGCGTGCCTGGTCGTTTCTGACTCAGACTGCGCCTGCACTGGTGATTGTGCGGCTTGGCACAAAAACGGAACTGTCCAAGATGATTTTGTCCTTGCCTGAAGCCCTCCTGGGACGCTGCCGGCTTCGAGGTGTAACACCATTGCGATGGGAATGGCCGTTGACAACATTCCGGACAGTGCTTTCTGGGGCGTTCTAGAGTTGCTTTTCGTTTCTCGGCATTTTTGAAGTGGGTGTTTTGGGACAGCACCGTTGTGCGGTGTCCCTGTGTCCTTCACCTAGTGTATTCCGTACAGATCACGACAGGTTTCTCCACAAGCTGCCAGATGCTCCGTTTTCTTGCTGAAGTAGTGAAGACTTTCAACCCTGCCACCTAAACCTCCAAACCGCCAACAACCAGGCACTTTGCTACCTCGCCGAGTTTATCTACAAGACCCGCACGCAGGGCATGAAGGGCTACTTCATGGGACCCGATTGGAAGTGCCCTTGAGGATTAGCATTGTAGCTTAGCGTCGTATCGTGCAGTACAGCATAGTATAGCATAGCGCAGCATAGGATCGTATAGTGTATCATAAAGAATTGGTACAACTTGGTTTCGTATAGTCTGCTAGAGGATAGGAAACGATAGGATAGGGAAGGGAACAGGAGCAGAAACAGGAATAGTACAGGAAAGTATACTGTAGTTTACTGTAGTATAGTGATATCTAGTGTCGTATACCATAGTACAGTATAGAATAGTATGGCAAAGTATAGTATAGTACAGTATCGTGTAGCAAAAATTGCAGTATATCTAGTATCTCGCAGTACATTATCGTATGTTGTGTTACAGTTGCCCACAATGAGCCATCTCTGCTGCCTGCCGTTGCTCTTGTTGGGCTTTTCTCCTGCAGCATCGTCGCAGGTTTCCAGACACTTCACTTTAAGGAGGACCCTTTGTGGGTCCCGAAAAGCTGATAAACCCTAAACCCTTAACCCTAAACCCTAACATAGGTGTTACGAAAGCCGGATCCGATGGGGCTGTTTGCAACTTGTCGTTAGCGAGGTGGAACTGCTTCGACTTCTTCTGCCTCTTGCTTTCCTTCACGGACTCGCTTTTGTTCTTCCTGCTCTTAGCGAATGCTATCGACTTCTCCATGAATTCAGCATCGCTGATCAAGGCCTGGAGGGCTTGTGGCGATGCTGTAGGGTGACATGATGGGGGTTTGTATCTCCTGCGGTTCAGGGATTTGAGTTTGGAGAGCTTGGTGGAGTTTTGGAGTTTGGTTAATGAGGCCGGAAATCAGCCTTGTGAGACGGTGGTACGTGAGAGTGTAAAAAAGAGCTGCTCGTGCATAAAAGGTGCTGCGCTTGGCGAGATTACTTCGACTCGTGCGCACCTTGCACTATGAGTTTTTCAACGAGCTACGATTGCCGCTTGCGCCGACACCATTTAGGGTTTGAGGTTTAAGGTTTGGGATTTAGCTTTCAGGTTGAGTTTTCAGCGAGCTGCGACTGTGGCTTGAAGAGCTTTGGGTGCCGCAGTTCTTATCGTGCCAGAGCATCTTTTTAATACTCCTGCACACAAAACTATACCATCGTCTCACTTCTCGGTCAAGGCGCGCTTGGGCTTGGGCTCGTCCCACCACGCCCTTGCAACCCATTTCTGCCCCTAAATCCTTATAAATTGGAAGTTAGAAGAGGGTTATGTGGTATGTTTATATCACAAGTATAGTAGCATCAGGACTCCAAAGCAATAGTACCATTAGTCAAACCCTAAGCTCCCCCGAGGATCATCCTGGGTGTGTTCTCGGGACTCAGAGTTCTCTTCTGGGCCATTGCCTGGTCCTCAGCGCAGTGCTTGACTGGCGTGGGGGCTGCTACAAGACCAGTAGCCAGGATCGTTTGGACACGAATGGCCGTCGGAGCGAACTGCAGGGGCTACGATAAGTGAAGAGTTTCTATGACGATAGCTCTTTGACGGGAGCATGCCAGAAGCGGACTGTGGGACGATTCAGTCTTTGTGTACAGTTCCGCCAAGGGAAGTCCCAGATCAATTGTGCAAGAGATTGAGACCAGGTGCTCCTCTTCGTGCTGATTTATGTGTTCGGAATCGGCATGGCAACCATTGCGGGAGAGCAGCAGGTACCGGTATTCAGGGTTCACAGCTGGCAGAGGTGAGTCCACGCCGGTGCCAGGCCGAGTTTCAAACCTTGCAGTCGAGCATGTTCACAATATTCCGCCTCTTGCTTCGTCGTAAAGTTTAGTGTTTAGGGGCCTATGGGGGCATGATGTGATGTGCTTCAGGGCGTTGAATGCGATCTTGGTCTTCCAAGGATGCTTGACCGAAGGCTGTCAGCGCCTCAGGTCGCCATGCCGCGGTCTGAAGGACAGGGGAAGCTGCAGTGAGAGCCAAGATGCTGTAGATTTGCACAAAGACTTGAAGCTGACATATCGCAGCTGAATTAGAGTTATCGTTTTCGTCGCCATGGCCATATAGCAGCAGAGCCACCAGGAGTAGCAGATCGGGTTTTGACCATCGCGGTGCTCTGGCCGTGGGGGTTGTTGATGCAGTGGACTAGCAGATATAGCAATGGCAGCACTGCTAGGTCTGTGAGGGATGGCAGTTTTCGTAGCAGCAGCACTAGCACTAGCAAACCTTAAGCCCAAAACCCTAAAGCCCTCAGCAAACCTTCAGCCCTGAACCCTAAAGCCCTCACCCCTCTTCCTGAGGTGCGGGCTATGACGGCCGGCCTCTCACTGAGACGCTTCGGATGGAGACTTTCCGGGAGTGGGCAGGCCGGAGCTTGTCCGATTGTTACAGCATTATAGTAATATATATATATAACATATATATATAAATATATATATATATATATTATAGTATTATAGTATTATATATATATATATATA